TGGGTTGTTCGCGTATAAACCACCTCCGTGCGTTATCTTGTGTTACAGCTATTTTACCACAGTAAATTGTGTGTGGCAGGTCTTCGTTGTGGTGCTGTTTCCAAGTGTTGTAGTTGGCCTGGTAGTTGTAGTAGGATGATGGTCCTGTGGTGCGGCAGTTCGGCTGTGGAATGGCGACCCGTACGTAGCACGCAGCAAAGTAATGGTCCACAGCTCGCTGCGCCGATTGGCATGAATAACGTGGCCATGCAAACCGCCCTCACGTACGTGGCACACCTGGGTGCAGGGAAACCTGCCAAAGTGTTCGGCTACATGCCAGACCACAAGGGAAACCTCAACCTTTCCGACGACAGCAAGTTCCACCCGCGCGTACACTTAGCACTACAGTATCTCGTGCGAAACTATTTCAGAGTTGAGCGCGTAGTAGCCGTGAGACTGGCCAGGAGCGTGCTCAATCTACCTTCAGTCAAGTACGCCACCGGGTCTACACTGATCCACTACGGCAGCGATGTCAACCCAGCCTTCCACTACTACGAGTGCGTCGGCACCGGCTTGAACATCTCTCAGATCACTGGTAGCCCTCACTCCAGACTCATCCAGTGCCTGACGTCACAAGCTCCTTCCCTAGGATTTCATGACGACCTTGTCAAGTATCAACACTTGGACACACCGTCTGAAAGACCTGACCAGCCTGGAGACAGGCCCTCTCCAGACACCCCAGGTGCCTCATCACCAAGTGAAGGTCGCCTGTCTACAATCTACGAGGAAAGCGAGGAACACGACATCGAGGCCATGATGATGGAAGAGTGGTATGATGAATTGCGTATGGACCTTCATCCCACGACAGTTACCGACGACTGTCTCTATTGCGTCCCAACAACTATGCTGCCTGACCAATGTGTCTTGGTCTCAGCATTATTGGACGAGGAAGATATTGTTGTGTCGGAGACGCTCGGAGACGAGCCTGAACACCAAGAGCCTTGTCTTGTCTCCTTATGCTCGACCACACCTGACGAGGACTACTCTCTTGACAGTGATGAATATGGCCCATACGCCGAATTGTGTTTTACGCCAGAAATAGCAAAGATCGCACTGGATCAGGCCCAACTTGCACAGCTCGAGCCAAGCATGGTCGCAACGATGAGAGTATACGTATCATCGGCTGCTAAACGTGCTGTGGTAGTTAAGGAAGATGACCTACTCACCAAAGCCGACATAGCAGCACATCCCAAAGAGGTTAGTGAAGCTTTGTACGCCGAACTCAAGATCTGGCCTGACAGCCGATGTTTCGACATGTACGACCTGTCAAAAGTTTCCAACATTATGACATCAAGATATGTATACAAGTGGAAGTTTGTAAAAGCGGGCACCGAGAATGTTAAAACCATCCGTCTCAGACTTGTCCTCCGTGGATTCATGGACACGGAGGCTTTCGATGTGGAAACCTTCTCGGGAACTGCCCGCCGACAGTCCCAGAGGCTTCTGGCAAGTGAAGCTGCGTGCCATCCAGAATGGATTTTGGCATCTATGGACATTGACAAGGCGTTCGCCATGACATGGACATTGACGTTTTTGGCATGGACATATGAGGAACTTGCTCATGCCACCGGCGAGGCGACTCGCATGGTTTGCTTTGCACTTCCACCAGGGCCCAGGTGCCTCGCACCCTCCCAGGCTTCTCTTCTTACGATGAAAGCCGACACTGCCTCGGGTGCCTGAAGCCAGGGACCGGTACGAAGGGCGCCCCAAGAGCGTTCTCTCTCAAGCTACGCACGACCACTCGAGCTATAGGCCTTTCACCGACAAGGTACGATCCTGAATTCGAATTCAGTCAGGACCTATTAACAGCAAAACACGTCGACGATATAATATGACAGGCCTAGAGAAAAACGTAGATGACTACGTACAACTTGTCGAAAAGGTGTTTGGTAAGTGCAAGCTCAACAAACACTTCTACACTAACTGCGCCGTCCGCTACACGAAGAACGAACAAGGGGATGTGATCATGGACCAGGACGAATACATCGGACAACTACGTCCTATCTCACATCCTGAACTCACGGGAGCGGAAGCAGACGCCAAGGCTACCAAACTCATTACCGACATGGTCGTTAGCCTGCGAGGAGCTCTCGCCTATGCCCTCCTTACTCAAGTCTGGCTCATGGCGCATGCGGTGCCCCTCCAGAAGATCCAAGAGCCTACCAACTTACAAGTCAGACGACTGAACGCTGCGACGCGAAAGCGAATCAGCAGCCCGAAACGCATCGCCTTCCCTCGGATGAAACCGACTGATGAAGTAGACATACACAGTGACTCGGGGTATCGGAAACTCACCGGGGAGGAGGGCGACGAAACCAAGGGCTACGACATTCGCGGGGCTAACGTACTAAGGCGAGGAAACTCGCCCCAAGGCAAATCCGTCGTTCACATTTGCGACGGGCTATGCAAGTCACACCAACTGCAGGTGAGATCCAGCTGCGCCGCGGAGGCATGCGTATCTGCACACAACCTTGATGAATGCTACCCCCGCGCTCATCACCCTCCACGAGCTCAAAGCCGGGGCCCTTGCTCCACGATACCTACGGGATATGCGTGAAGTTGGAGGCCGAGCTATCAAGGTATCCTTTACGATAGACGCCGAGTCTGTATATATGTAATTGTCTAGCAAAGATCTCAATATACAAACGGAACGTACTTTGCTAAGACATATCAGCTGGATACGTGAGCTCAATGATATAGGTATAGCGCACAACGCGCAGTGGTGCGATACTAGGGACATGACCGCAGATGGACAGGCAAAGGGGAGTATCGATCGGGAGCTGCTTCTGGAAGTAATGTCAGGTACTCAGTCGTTTAAGTATGACGTGAAGCAGTATGTTCCCTTTCGGGGCCCTGAGGACAAACAAAGCCTAAGTCGAATCATGTTTATAGTCTGTCATTGTTGCCCCTGCGGTCCAGTTTGCCAGCACGGGCGCCCACTATGAAGGAGCCAGCCCTCTTGCTTGCTCGGACACGAGCCATGCTTTTCACGCTTGGCAGCGAGCCTGCTCAGCTTGGTTCAGGCTCTTTGCCTTAATACCTTTTGCCCGGAAGGGGAATAGCCTGTTTGGCTTGCCTCTAGCCGGGCCGACAGCCCTTGGCCACCCAAGGGGCTGTCTTGCGAATGCGTGGAAAGATCTTTGCGAGGAAACTCGCCTGCGAATAATCTCGCCCTTCAGTCTGGTGGTAGACCAGACTGCGCGTGCTGTTTTCCGTGCAAGCTGTCGCGCGCGCCTGTCGAGAGCCTAGCGACTGCGCGGTTTTACTCTCCGTCTCTTCCCTCCCGACTTTAAGGGTAGCTCTTTGGGGGATGGTATATGTATACGGGAGTATAGCCTGCGCGTTGCTGCCCTATGGCTCAAGGCACGCGCGCCCTATTTGCCCGGAAACCTGATTTGGTATTCGCTATGTGCTGGAAAGACCGATACATCGATCTTCTCCTATCTTACCCATCCACACCCCATATCGTATTCCTTCGACATGGAATTGGACGCAATATGACCTACCAGAGTTATTTCAGATTGTGAGGGGGTGTGCCGGATTGGGCGCGGTTGTGCCACGCGAACCTTCCCATTGGAGCTTTCGGCGGAGCTCCCTATGGGGCCGCGAGACGTGCGAGGGGTGCGCCGAATTGGGCGCGGTGGTGCCATGCAAACCCTCCCACTGGAGCCTTCGGTGAAGCTTCCTAGGGGGCTACGAGACGTGTGATGGGGGCGTGCCGAATTGGGCGCAGTGGTGCCACGCGAACCCTCCCATTGGAGCTTTCGTTGGAGCTCCCTCTGGGGCCATGAACCGTGCGAGGAATGTACTGGTTTGGGCGCGTTGGTGCCATACGGACTCTCCCTCTAGAGCCCTCGGTGGAGTTCCTCCCTCTTGGGCTACGAGACTTTGCGAGGGGTGTGCCGAAAAGGGCGCGGCGGTGCCATGCGAACCCTCCCACTGGAGCCTTCGGCGGAGTTCCCTATGGGGCCACGAAACGTGTGAGAGGTGTGCCGAACTGGGCACGGTGGTGCCATGCGAACCCTCCCACTGGAGCCTTCGGATGTCTTCCCTCTGGGGCCATGAACGGTGTGAGGGGTGTGCCGAATTGGGCGCGGCGGTGCCGTGCGAGCCCTCCCACTGGAGCCTTCGGTGGAGCTCCCTATGGGGCCACGAAACGTGTGAGGGTTTGCCGAATTGGGTGCGTCGGTGTCATGCGAACCCTCAAATTGGAGTTTTCGGTGGAGCTCCTTATGGGGCCACGAAACGTGTGAGAGGTGTGCCTAAAAGATGGACAGACGGAGGGCAGAGGCAACACCACAGGATGTTTGGGAACAATGCAAGAGCTTCACGAATTGAGGGTGGATGGTTTTTAATACGCACATTGTTTCCAATGCTTTGCAATATCTTCACGGATTGAGGGCGGGTGGTTTCCGAATTTCAATTCACGCCTTAGCGTCGCGCATCGTCGTTTTAAACCGTGCAAGAGCTTTATTGATTGAGGGTGGCTCGTTTTCCAAATGTGTTTCTCGCTTGAGCTTGGCGCACACTGTTATATACACATTTGCACGATGTTCACTGGTTATCATGGTTAACGTTCCAGGAGGGTGGTTTTGGGACGGCACTGCGTTAACAGGGCGCAACAGTTACGTTGATTCGTGGTGGTGAAGTCTCAGGAATAATGTTCTGACACGATTCCGGATCGCCAAGACGTTACAGTCAGATCAGTTCGCGGCGCTGAAGTCCTGAGAACGGGGCTATAGCACGTTTCAAGATGTTCACACGATTATACCCTCACGGGGCAATTCCTTCAGTCGAAGTTCTCTGGTAGGGGCCTATGATGAGGGATATTGGAGGGAGGGTGTATTTCAACATCGCTGATGAACCATAGGTTTCCTCCTCCTCTTCCTCCTCGTTCCCCCCCACGTCCTCCCTCCGCTACTCTTGGGCCCTCCCTCCTCCCCGACACCCTGCCCTCGGAGGGCTGGTCCTCCGACGCGCCCGACGGGGACAAGGCGATCAACGCCAACACTGGGCTGGACATGCGGGTGACCGTGCCCCCTGCCGCGCGACGGGCGGTGCTTTCAGCGATCGGTCTACGAAGGGGGGGCCATCGATCCCCGCCTCCGCATCTGGAGGGAGGGGGCCGAGGAAGGGAGGGAAGGGGCGAGGGGGACGTGCCGCACGGCGGCGGGAGTCCGCAGAAGGCACGGGCGGGGGGCGGGGAGCGTCACCCCGCCGGGCCAACCCCCTCGATAGGTGCAGGAGTTCACTCTTGGTCTGGTTCAGTCTGCTGCGCAGGAGGAGGAGGAGGAGGAGGAGGAGGAGGACGAGAAGGAGGAGGAGGAGGAGGAGGAGGAGGAGAAGGAGGGGGAGGAGGAGGAAGAGGAGGAGGAGGAGGAGGAAGAGGAGGAAGAGGGTGGGTGGGTGGGTGCGGGGCGGCGGAAATTTGATTGTTTGGTGGGGGCGCCGGGTGGAACCCCAGGGAGGGTGCCGCTCAGTGCTCGCGCGGGATGCCCGGAACACGGCGGGAGGGTCCTTCTCCCAGGGAAGATGCTCCAAGGTGGACCTCAGCAGTCATGGTGCGCAAGCACAGGCCGCGGGACGAGGCCTTAGAAGGAGGAGGAAAAGGAAGAGGAGCGGCCGGAGGTGTGCCGGCTGCAGGGGGCGACTTCTGGGCGAGGAGAAGGAGGATGAAGTCTTAGTCGCCTACTGGTTGGTCTCGGCGCTTGGCGAGTTCAATGGGTGGCTTGAGAGTTTTGGATAGACCCGCTTGCAATCCTAAGAGCAGGGGCTCGGAGTTCTTGTGGCACCTCAGAATCAGAAGGTTCCAGCAAGTTTTCAATGTCAATCACCTCGCCGCCCATGCCTCTTGCCCACCCCCCACCCTCCCCTCGCAGCCCCCTCCTTTCCCCGTTCACCGCCTGCCCCTCCACTCCCTCCCCCATCATCCCTTCCCTCTCACGTGCCCGCCCCCCTCTCCTGCCTTTCCCTTCCCCACACACATTAAAAAGTCATGTATCCAACTGCCTGCGGCAAACCCCGTCACCGCGCCTGTGCAACAACGCGGCAGGAAGGAGGCTGATTGTAGAAGCAGCGCAATTTTGACGAGCGGTCAGAACTGGGACGGGTCGTGAACTCGACCTTGTCTTCGTCCACGCGGTAGGGGGGAGGTCGAGGTCACGCCCCAATGTAGTTTAGCGGGCGGTCTGATTTGAGGCGGGTCGGGAATGTGTCCCCATCTTTGTCCGCAAGGTAGGGCGAGGAAGAGGAAGGAGGATGAGGAGAAGGAGGACCAGTGTAAACCCAATAGTCATCAACGATGTTAGAATAAACCCTCCCTCCAAGCTCCCTCTTCCTAGGCCCCTACAACGGTTCATTTCCACTGAGGGAACTGCCTCGTTGGAAGGCACCCGTTTGAAGACCCTGAAGCATGCCAAAAGATTGTTCTCGGGATGTCAACGCCGCGGATCAACCTGACTGTTGCGTCTTGACGATCCCGAATCGCACCAGAATGCCATTCCTAGGATTTCAACACCGCGGCTGAACGTAACTGATGCTTCCCGGCGGAAGCCACGCTCGGCAAGATGTCCGAGGTCTGCCGGCGCCGTGGTTTTCAATTAGACCAGTCTGTGCATCTTGCCATCGCTACATACGTCGACAATGTCTACTCTGTAAGCCATACTTTGTATAATGCAACGTGCATGCCGGACGAGTTTGAGGCCCACATTCTCTCGTTTGAAGCTTTGGGCCACATCCTTGAGAATACCGGAGCGTGCACGATGTGTGTCGACAGGACCCTGGCCGCCATGTGGCGAGCATTTTGGGCAAATTGCTCAATGCATCGGTTGCGGGAGGTCCCTTTGCAACAGCGTCTGAAGCTGCTGGATCGGGCCGTACTTCCCGTGTTCGATTATCGATGCAGCCGATGGCCTCCGGCCGCCACCCTGGAAGGGCGCATTGACACTTAACAGCGCCGCGTGGTCGGCTTACTCATGCGAGTGCCGCGGCACGCCGGCGAACCGGCGCCGGATTACTTCCGCCTTAGGGCTAGCGAGGCCAAGGACTTGTGTCGCCAGAGACGTTGGTGGAGCCATCGTCATTGCTTCCGTGTCTTGGATTGGCGCGCGCACCCTGAGCGACCCCGGAACAGTCGTTCATGGGCGGCGCAGCTATTGCATTGGCAGGGTGAGCGGTGGCTCCAAGGCCGGAGGGCGCAACGCCACAGTTACAGCTTGCATGCTGGACGTACAGACACGAGGCTGGCAGTCCGTCGTCCACGACAGAGGTGGCACGATGGCGCTCGATATGCGTTGGAGCACATGCCGCCTGGCTCGCACGCCATTCTCTACCCCAACTCCGTCCTCCCTTCCCCCTCAGCCGGACGTGGTCCGCGCCAGTTTTGAGTTTGGCTGCATTGCTTTATCGTAGCGTAGTGTGCGTTCTGCGCATGCTGTCTGCGGTGGCACCGCGCCTTCTGATTCTGATTCTGATTCATAATCCTGAGTCCTTAAACACAATTTGCGGCACGCTGATCAGGGAGTCCATGAAACCCTTGCAAAGTTTGAAAACGAATGCGCGCGGCGCAACACTCTTGTCTTTTTCGTATAATGCGCGTTGAAAAGGATCCGCCCTGAATCCGCAACACCTTTTTATTTTTCGTGCATATATACAAGACTGCATTGGCGCTTCGCGCCATGCACCTTGGTCCTTGAGGTTTTGCATATGTTGATCGTTCGCACCATCCCTAGTGACCTTGGAAATTCGGCCCCTTCCCTGCGGTGGTTTCCAGAAGTCCTTGAAAGTTCGGGCGGTCTCTGGCCCTTCCCGGGCCTCTGGTGGCTCCCGAAAGGCGCCGGGTGGAGGGCGAAGGATAGGAGGGAGGGAATCTCGGAGAGCGAGGAAAGAAAGCGGATGTTGGGCGAGGGTGAATGGCGGAGCGGCAGAAAGAGGAGGAAGAGGGCGCCGTCGGGGGACGGCGAAGAATGTTGCAGCGGGTTGCAGCGTGTCGCAACGGGGCACGCGAACGCAAGTAATTCTTAGGGAAGGCACCCTAATTCCGGGGTCGCGACAGATTTCCGTCGTTTGTGATTTGGTTGCGAGCCTTGGATTCGGGTCAGTTTGGTGGATAACGCCGTGTGGGCTTTGTTGGAGAGCCCTGGTGAGCCAGCTTGCTTGGGGCCGTCTCGAACCGTCTCGGGGCCATCCTAGGGCGTTTGGGCGAGTTTGGGCCCTCTATAGGGACCTTACGGGGGCTACGTAGGCCCTCCCGTTGGCCTCCCATGGCCTTTCGGGGGGGCTTCCCATGGCCTTTGTAGGTTTCTCTTGGGGACCTTGTGAAGGCCTGTTGGATTTGTTCTTGGCTCATTTGGGGCTTGTTTGGGCAGTCTTGGGGCCATCAGGGCCGTCTAGAGGCTCTCTGGGGGGTCTCTGGGGCCGACTTGGGGCGATACCAGAGAACTTCCTGGCTGTTTTGGACGTTGTTAAGACGACCCGAACAGCGAATGTGCTGAAATTGCACGTTTTCCTAAGGGATTGAAGGAATTTCTTCATTCTGGAAGCCCTGTTGAGCGCCACCTGGGCCGTCTTGGGGGCCTCTGGAGGCCATCTGGGTCCTTTTCGGAGCGCTCTTGTGTTGTCTTTGGTCTTCCTTCGGCATCTCTGGTCACCGCTCTGATAGCTTCGGGGCCTTGTGAGGGCGTGTTGGGTTTCTTTTTGGCTCATTCGGGGCTTCCTTGGGCAGTCTTGGAACAATCCAGGTCGTCTAGAGGCTCTCTTGGGGGTCTCTTGGGCCGTCTTGCGGCGAAGCCCGAGGCCTCCTTGGCTGTTTTGGACGCTGCTAAGACCCGAACAGCGCATGTGCTGAAAATGCATGTCTTCCTGAGGGAATGAAGGGATTTCTGCATTCTGGGAGCCCTGTTGAGCGCCTCCTGGGCCGTCTTGGGGGCCTCTGGAGGCCATCTGGGTCCTGCTTGGAGCGCTCTTGTGCTGTCTTGGGTCTTTCTTCGGCCTCTCTGATCATCGCTTATCGCTTGGGGCCTGCTGGCAGGACCCCGCTAAACGCCGTGGGAGGTCCGGGACGAGCCAGGGGACCTTGGGCAAGGATGTCCGGGGGGCCCAGACACCGGCGATCCTAAGGGGTCAAGTTTTTTTTGGGGGAAAGGGGGGTTTCCCACCCCCCGGTTTGTAAACATGTGTTTGTGTTCTCTCTCTCTCTCTCTCTCTCTCTGTGCCTGGGTACATGTGTGTGTGTCTTTGTGTGTGCGTGTGTGTTTAAACAGCAAAAACACATGCACGCAACGCGAAGGCGAGAGCCATAATTAAAAAAACGGACCGCCCTCAATCCGTGAAACGATTGCAAAGATTGCAGTGGCCTCTGGCCAGTGCCGCCGATCCGGGGCGCTACCGATTCTGCTTGCAACGGAGGACCTTTTTATGTTTCAAAGAAGAGCACTCGCTCGAGACATCCTCATACTATAGAGATGTTGAACTCGCTTGGGCAACCGTCGGATATTCGAAAGTGACGATCTCGCGTGAACAGCCAAACTCATGGGATGTCCCCTCCCACCTTCCGGGCCTGAATAGCGTCAGCCATGGCGTCAGCCCCCGCCCCCACCCACGACTTTTCCTTCCCGGGCCTGACTGGCGTCAGACATGGCGTCAGGGCTCCTTCCCTCCCCCCCTCCAGATCCCCCTCCCGGGCCTGAATGGCGTCAGCCATGACGTCAATTCCCCCCCCCTTTTCCCCCCCCCCCCCCCCTCTACTGCCAATGGCGTTATTCCCCCCTTCCCCTCCCCCCCCTCCTCCCTCCCGGGCCTGGATGGCATCGCCCCCCCTCCTCCCTCCCAGGCCTGAGTGGCGTCAGCCCCCCCCCCCCCTCCGACTGAGCGAAGCCCCCCCCGCCCCCTTCCTCCCGGGCCTGAATAATGGCGCCAGCCCTCCCCCCCCTCCTCCCTCCCGGGCCTGAATGGCGGCAGCCCCCGCCCCCGACAGAGCGACCCCCCTCCTCCATCCCAGGCCTGAGTGGCGTCAGCCCCCCCTCCCTCC